TGATCTAACTCTCTGAATATTTATTCTAAAACTAGAATGAAGAAATAATGCAAAAGGAAAATCTGGACAGCAAGAGAAAAGATTTTCAAACTGATTTTTCGGATGTCTCTCAGTGTAAAGACTGCTGGAATAGAATCTCAATTTATAGGCAATATAGTCCCCGAACAGGTACAACAATTTGAATGAACAGATGCACTTTTGAAAGAACAGGTGCAATAGTTGAATTCAAACAATTCTGACCGTTGTACATGAACACTACTATTCAAACATTTGAAAAGTGTCCTTTGGTGGACAAACAAAGGAACTGTTAGGAACTTTATTATTAATAACTAAACATCTTTTTGTCGACACAAATGTGGCGAGTAGCACCAGTGTCTACCCACCATTCTTTAGGATTTCCGACAAGATTTGCCTCGGAAACAACTACAGAAAGATTGATGTTATCTACACCAGTGGAAATCTTGACCACTTCAGTCATGTGGGCTTGAGCAGGCTTCTTGCTTGTTCTTCTTTCGCTTTTGCCTTTGCTACGGCAATCTTTGGCCCGATGTCCCTCTTTGTCACAGATGTAACATTTGCCGTTAAACTTGTACTTTTTATTATCCCTCCTTTTAGAGCCTTGTGATGAACTTTCTCCAGAAGACTTTCGTTTCTTGATTTTTGAAACATGTTCCACCACATTTGCCTTAGACTCCATAGGATGCTTACCAGCCTGCTTTTCAGAATTGCGCGTTGTCCTCCTCAATTCTCAAACGCACAATTAATTCGTCCATAGAAATTTCTTTGCGCTTGTGCTTGAGGTAGTTCTTGAATTCCTTCCAGCCTTTTGGTAATTTTTCAATTAAGGCTGCAACTTGGAAGGATTCACTGAGAGACATGCCTTCTGCGTGAATGTCATGCAGAATGAGTTGGAAATCTTGAGCTTGGCTGATCACAGTTTTTGAATAAACCATTACAAAATCCAAGAATCTGCCAACCACAAATTTCTTTGAGCCGGCATCTTCCGTTTTGTACTTTTTCTCCAACGATTTTCAAAATTCCTTTGTTGTCTTGATTGGACTGTAGACGTTGTATAATGTGTTGTCAAGTCCGTTCAAGACGTAATTCCGGTAAAGGAAATCGGCATGTTTCCAAGCATCAACCGCAGCAATCACTTGCCGGTCGGTTTCATCCTCTTTCAGGATAGGAGCCTCTTCACGGAGGAAACGAGCCAGGTTCAGAGTTGTAAGATAGAACAACATTTTCTGTTGCCATCTTTTAAAGTCAGTTCCTGAGAACTTCTCTGGCTTCTCTTCATGATTTATTGGTACTGTCACCACAGGATAGGGGATTGGTGCAATTGCCACCACCACAGTAGTACTTGTTTGGGCATTAGTTTCAGTAGCCATCAATTCTAATATATAAAACAAAATTATAATTTAGAATTTACACTATACAGAAAATTAAACCAAATTCACAGAATTAAATTCTGTAAATATAAAAAAAAACAAGAATGTAACTTTTATTTTCCAATTAATTTGAAAATAAAATAAAATTTTATTTAAACAAATTAATTCTACACAGAAAATTAAATTCTGTAAAATAAAAGAAATAAAAATATAACTTTTATTTTTCCAATTAATTTGAAAATAAAATAAAATTTTATTCAACCAAATTAATTCCAAACAGGAAATTAAATTCTGTAAAATAAAAAAAATAAAAAATATAACTTTTATTTTTCAATTAATTTGAAAATAAAATAAAATTTTATTTAACCAAATTAATTCCACAC